TGTTTCATTTTTCTGCAAATGGATCTCCAGTTTTGCCAGCACCATTTATTAAACAAACATTCTCTTCCCCACTTAATGGATTTGGGGCCTTTGTCAAAGGAGTTATATGCTCTTATATTTTCATTTAAAATTGGCATTGCACAACATAAAAATTAACAGTAAAATTCATGCTAACAATTCAAAATTTTTTCTTTTTTTTTTACAATGACATTTGATAGCAAAGAAAAAACACCAAGACAAGTTGAGAGAGTAACCATGGAAGAAAGGAAAAAGCTTTATATTACAGTAGGTTTAATGGTACTTTTTTCCGACTTTTGGGACAAGGTACCTTACGTTTTCATGGTCTCTGAAAATTATGTAGCTGGCCCTGGTTCTGAGTATCAGCACTCAGCAGAGCAAACTCAGCTTTCTCACTACACTTCACACCATGTGATCTGGACTAAATGGCCACTCACTGAGGGGGGCTCATCTCTCCATTTTTTTAGCCTGCTTCCACTTTATCAACATATATATGTATGTATATACATACACATTTATATATGTATACACACAAACATGGTAATGGACATAAGTAGAATTAAGGACATGGTCCTCAAAAAGGTCTAACCTAATTCAGGTTCTGTGTCAGGAACTTCTAACACCTCAGATTCTTCAGCTAACAATGATGCCCTGGACTCTTCAGATACCTCAGGTGCTTCAAACCCTTCAGGAGTGTCAGACCCCTCATTATCAATCTCTTCTTCAGCCTCTGGTTCAGCATCTTCAGTTACTAGAAAAAAAATTAGAAGAGAAAAAAGTTATTATTCAGTTAGGTCAACAAATATTTACTGGGTGCAAGGAACTCTGATGAGTGTTGAAGCCAAAACAAAGAGTAGGGAATGCTCCTTCTTCTCCTGGAGCATGTGGTTTAAAAAGGGAGATACATTTTTTAAAAATGACATTAAAATGTAGTGGTAGATGACTTGCAGTAAGATGGAGGAATAGGCAGACATGCAACACAGACCCTCTTAAACAAAGAAAAGAAAAATCAATTGACAGAGATACAGAAGATAATCCTGGAGACCTGAGCTTTGAAAGGAACTATGCAGAAGTGGATTACGCACCAATTAGTAGAAAAACCTGAATGAAAACAGTGAGTACAGAGATGGTCGGAGCTGCGGACTGTCAGCTACTCTGATGAGACCAACGGCCTGAATATTCCCAAGTGGTGTTGGGACCTGAGAATTGACCTAGGGATCAACCTGGTCAACAAAGGGCTACAGGGATGACTGTGCTGGTGGCCTATGATTAGGAAGGGAAACAGCTGAGCTGTTGACTTTCCGCTATCTGGAGGGTGCAGCCATTTTGATTGTTTACACGTGGCAGCCATTTTGGATATTTAAAGTGACCGAGGGTACAGCCATCTTGAATGTTTACAAGCAGTGGCCATTTTGGATATTTAAAGTGACCGAGGGTGCAGCCATTTTGAACATGATAAGCAGTGGCCATTTTGCATATTTAAAGTGACTGAGGGTGCAACAATTTTTAATGTTTATAAGTGGCGGCCATTTTAGATATTTAAAGTGACCAAGGGTGCAGCCATTTTGAATCTTTACAAGTGGAAACCATTTTGGATTTCAAAGTGATAGCATTCTCATTCGGATTCCAAGGACATAAGAATAGGCTCTGTTTGCCAAACTTGGCAGGGACATACAAGAGGCTGACAACAGGAAGGAGAAGGTGTTAAGTGTATAAGTGCTGTCAACTAGTGAATAGAGAAGCACAGTACCCTGCTTGCATAGATAACATACAAACAAAACAAGGAAAATGAAAATAGTGGGGAAGTCACTCCAACATACAATCACCAATTAAATATAAACACAAAAATGTCACAATGCCTTGGAGACAACAGAACATCACAGTCCACAAAAAGAAGCAAGATAAAACGAGAAACAAGGGACCAGGATAAAGACCCAAAACACATCCCTGAGGAATATGCAGCATTGGAACTCCCTGATAAGGAATTCAAAAGAATTATATTTAGGTATCTTCAATGAATTGAGAGACAGATCAAGGAAAACATAGAGAAAACCCTAGAACAATTTCAAAAGACAATACAAGAACAAAATGACAAAATAAATGAAAAATTAGAAATGATACAAAATCTACACAGAGAAATCCAGAAGATTAATA